GCCTCTCCAAGCGGCCAAAGTTGAGAAACACTGTTCTAGTGAATCAGAGAGGCATCTGCGTGAGCCGCTTCCGAATGTTACTTGCTTGCTCAGGCTTAAAAAATGTTTCAGACCCCTTTGCCTACACGTTTCTCACCCCTTCCCATCAAAGCCGCCTTCCTGACTCTCTACACCAGGGGAGTGGACAAGAATCCCCAGCTTCTTTCAAGCCAAAGACCCCCGTCCCTCCAAGCGAGCAGGGCTCAAAGTGCTTTGCTTGCCTTTCCTTTGAACAGACCACGCTCACCCCCTCCCCAGGCATCTCCCCCTTCGGTTTGAAACTCAAGACCCGGGAGAAGCTTTGGCAAAGCCTCCGGGGCCGCTTCAGAGCTTCCAGAGGTCACACGAAGCCCCGATCGGGGGCACCCTGGTTTGTCGCTTCGCAAGCCCGTTTCAGAACTACCCAGCATTCAGGCCTCCAGAAGTCTCACCTGGCACTTCCAGGTAATCCTCTATGAACCGGATGTAGGCCTGGGCCTCAGCGGGCAAGTCGCCAAAGCTGCGAGCGCCCTCGGTGCTGCACTGCCATCCAGGAAGGTTCTTGTACTTCACTGTGACTTTGTTCAGGAGCTCGTGATTGGCTGTGGATAGCGAGAGAGAAACTGAGGCAGGGATTAGCTGCTTGTCTGCTTGCACGATATGGTGCTCCACACCAGTGTTTCTCAACCTTGGTAACTTTAAGACGCCTGGACTTCAATTCCCAGAATTCCCCAACCAGCCAACTCCCAAATTCTGGGAGTTGAAGTCTGCACATCTTAAAACATGCTGGCTGGGGAATTCTAGGAGTTGAAGCCGACACATCTTCAAGCACGCTGTCTGGGGAATTCTAGGAGCACACATCTTCAAGCACGCTGGCTGGGGAATTCTGGGAGTTGAAGTCCACACACCTTAAAATCGCCAAGGTTGAAAAATCTAATCAAACATTCAGACCCACAGCGGCTTGCTCAACAAACTATGGATGAAGCAAACCACACTCACTTCCCAGAAGGTCTGACCTCTGAAGACCCCCTTGCAGGATCAAAGGGTGGGGAGGCAAAGGAAGATTTCAGCAGGTGGGAAGAAAGGCTAGGAGAGTCTCGCAATTTTGCATAACCATAGTAATAATCAATTAAGGTGATGGAAAACTCTGTTCGTCTTTTCAATTGGGGCACCTGCTCCCCCCTCCTCTAACGGCGGATCATTTTAAACTATGATATTATTGGGATGAGGAGACCCATGCAATTACTTTACCGTCTTCAAACTGGGATAAGATGGTTTGGGTACTACACTGGAGCAGGAGAGCGAAATCAAAACCGCCCCAAAGATAGCCAGCGGTAGCCTTTTGCCCAAACCACCCCAAATGAACCACTGGAGGGACTGCCTTTAACCTCAACCTTTAACACCTCCGGGTCGTATTCCTCTCCACCACTTTGTCCAACTGTCCATTTTTGGAGGCCACGCAAGTTTAGGGCCACGCCTGCCTCCAGTGGCAGAGAATTCTCCGTTCTAATGCTAAGCTGCACGAAGATGGGCTCCTTCTGTTTGTCCTTTAAGCGCCCGGACTCCAGAAATCTCGCTCTGGTTCCTTGCACGCCATTTGCTTTTGCTCTGAATTACCAAAACCGAATCCACCAAGGTGTGAAAAGTCCGGAGACAAGAAATGCCCGTTTTGTCCGTAGCCTCACCTGGGCAATACGGAATCTGTTTCCCATCCAGATGGTACTCCACACTCACTTTGATCTCTTCGAAGGTGTCGAGGATGTCCAGCTTGGTCACGGCTAGGCTAGGAAACGGTCCAGAAAACAGAGTTATCATCAACCTGAGAACATCTAACTTCCCCCGCGCAAATACTTTCCATCTGAAAGGCCACCCGCACTCCGTTCCTTCTCTCTTCGATGGCTGACGTGATTCTAAGCGGACACAAACGATTCGCACACCGCCCTCCAGCTTCACAGAAGCTGCTTGGAGTTAAATGAACAGCCCTAAACTGCATTGAAGAGCACCAAGCGGGTCGATCTCTCCTCGGTCAGTGGGGAGGGGGCTGTTCTACAAAACGGCACAGGACATGCAAACTACCGGGATTCTCCCCAGCGAAGAAGGAAGAAGGAAAGAGCGAGCGGATGTTTGCGAGAGGCTTACGCGCTGAACCCATTGATCATGTGGGCGTATTTCACCAGGACGAGGTCCAGCCAGCCGCAGCGACGCTTACGGCCCGTGGTGACGCCGAATTCCCGTCCCCTAGCTTGTAGCGTCTCGCCGATCTCCTGCAGAGGGGCGGCAGATGAAAACGATGGGGCTGGATGTCCCTTAAGCCAGGGTTCCTCAACCCTGGCAAGTTGAAGACGGGTGGACTTCAACTCCCAGAATTCCCCAGCCAGCTGGCTGGGG